TGAATCCTTTGATTCCAAAGATTGTATAATGGTTTAAGAATTCAGTCCGCACCGCAAAGAAAACACAACCCTTCACCAATGCAAATATCAAATCGTTTATGCTGTTCAAGGTAAAACAGCTGCTGTTTATTCCGACAAAAAAAATTTCTAAATCCATAAATATAATATATGGACAAAAAAAATTCAGACTTAATTAAAGTTAAAACAGGCGGTATATATAAATAACATTCGGCCTTAACAAGGTTTAAACCCAAGACCATTTACACAGGACTGAACAAAGTGGTTTGTAACTCAACTACCGCTACTTTGATCTCCTTGTTAAACCATCAATTTACAAGTCAATTTGAGCAGTTAGAAATGTGGACTGAAACACTACGTAGGGCAGCGAGATGAGAGACTGGATATTCAGTCTAGACGTGAACTTTCATTTGCTTTAGATGTTGAGCAAGTCATAGGTTAGTGCTAACAGTCACTTACAAACAACCTTTGCACTTTACGACTACGTAGTAAAGTCGACTGAATTAAATGACATGGTGTTTTTAAACGAGGGTGGAGCTGGGCTCCCGGCTTCCAGGCTATGACGTCAACACATCTGTACTAAAGACAGTGGCGCTGCGATGGGTCCTGCTTAGCAAACAGCGGACCGGAATTAGCTATGCCGAATTATGACAAACTACTGTAGGAAGGCGCAGGGGGACAGAAAAGGCAATAGGCCTGCGAAGTTGTCGAATTTTGCGCTTCAAATTCACTGTACAAACACCGATACCACATGTTCTCTGCGATTTGGCAACGCCGTATTCGAAGTTAATCACAATGTTTCCTTAAATTAGATAATCAATTATATTTTCACGGTAGCTAACAAATAAAATCGATCAAAATAAACCCAAAAATTTAATAAAATCTTCTCGGGCGACAAACCGTAGTCCAACGTTTCGGAGACAGTCACTGTCTCCATCATCAGGGAAAGATGCGATCGGCGGCCTCAAAAATTTCATGTTAATACTGAAAGTGGTTCCTCCTTGTGTATGGTCTCTGACCAATAGGGAGAGCAGCTGAACCCATCTTAATACCATTGGTTCCGAATCACTGCATGTAATTGGAACTCAATCCGAGTTGTCTAAGGACTGGCCTACATGGACATAGAAATCTGTGCACACCCTGACAATTTCAACAGAGTTCGGGGATTCATGTTGAGTGAGGCATCGAAACCCCTGATCAGTTTACTCAAGACGAATAAGTTTCGGCAACACTTGGAAGAGACGCGGTCTGAGAACACCGAAATGGGTTAACCAATGCGGCCAACAGAGCAAAGGACTGGACAGTGACCGCCACATGAAGGAGGAAGTTAAGTGACAGGAAGACGGATCACAAGTCGAGGGGTTACCACCATTTTAAAATACAGCAATCTTTCGTCAGGGAAATCTAATAGCAGGTTCTGCCGAAATGTTGGTAACAACCTATAAATGTATACGGCCCCACAATCCGGAATAAAACACACCACAGACACGTTCCTAACAGTTTCAGCGTCGTAATATCGCTCCATTGCAGACCTCAGGTGTGTTGTAAGTTATTCGAAATGAGAGACAAGGCAAGCAGATGACTGCATTTTGGGCTGTAGCACCGTACCAACGTTTCATAGGTACTTTCTGCCTCCGTCATCAGGGCGACTCATCGCCATCTTCGTACTCACCGTTGTGAAAACCTCAAACCTTACAATGATGAAGCAGTTTGGATTCTTGTACCTTAGTGATCATAGAATTGTGTTTTACTGAAAACCAACGTGGGATGCTGCGTGCTTTAAGGCGGTAGATTCCAAATAAATGACGGGTTCAGTAGCACGGGGGAAACATTTACGAATATGCGTTTGCGTAACTCCTGCGGAGACCACAAACTCTTTAAGTTTCTGCTCGATGACGTTTTACTTTCCTTAACGGATGTAATAGTTTCCAACATTGAATCAAAGGAAATACGTAAGCAGCAAATACAAGAACGTAGCATTTTACTGGATTTAAAAGTATCCCCAGATGAATCTATCAAAAGTAAGTGCAGTGTGGTCTTCTCGGATGACAAGTCACTGCTAATGGCTAGACTTTCCGAAACGTCAGGTCGTTATTACATACGAGGTGCGATCGGAAAGTTTCAAGACTGTGTCAATAGCGGGCGAACCGGATGTAGTACGAGCTTCTGTCGCTAGGGGGTGCGGCCTACATTCATAGTGAATCAGTGTGCCAGCCGGCATCATCGAATTAGCATTTGTTTCTTAGTTACGGGCGTTTTGGTAGTGCATTACACCGACCCTCCTGCGATTTCGGAATGGCGGGTGCATCAAATTTTGCCAAAGACTCGCCAAAACCGCTACGGAAACCTATGAAATGCTAAAGCAAGCATTTGGGGAAATACTTCGAAATGGGTCGTGCACAAACTTTTGTGAGGCATTCCTGAGGTTTTTTAACATCGATCACCACTTAAATACAAGATTTTAAATGTTTTTTCTCTACTGTTCACACTTCTACAACCACTTATGCGATTTCTTCATCTTCTTTTCATGGCTCTACGGTCCTTGAAGGACCTTGGACTCCTCATATACGAGGTGCGATCGGAAAGTTTCAAGACTGCGCGTATAAAAACCCGTACACTTATCTCAGGTATTAAATTCATCCATCACCCTCGAAGTAGTTCCCCTGGGAGTGAACACAACGATCCCAGCGCCGCTGCCAAGCCTGGAAGCATCCCTGGAAATCACTCCCAGGGGAACTACTTCGAGGGTGATGGATGAATTTAATACCTGAGATAAGTGTACGGGTTTTTATAGGCGCAGTCTAGAAACTTTCCGATCGCACCTCGTATCAACGCTACTAATCGCCCTGCCAAGTATAAAGGTTCGGAACTCTGAACCATTATCAATTTTGTCAATGTTCCCCTCAAGTTCGAGTGACAAATTCTACCTTAACAACGCTGTGAGCAGCTCAGACCACATAGTGTTAAACGGTAGCATAATTAATTAAATAGAATGCATGTGTAAGGAAGCGGTTGTGGCCAACTTAAAGGCACTAACCTAGCATTTGATGTTCAGGGACTGAGGAAATCAAAGATTACCTCAGTCAATACAGGCCGAGATCTGATCCCGGGGCTGCCCTAATATGAAGCAGGAGTGCTAACCACTCGTCCACTAAATTCGTCGCTCTTTAAGACATTTTATGAAAAACAAAATCACTGACTTAATTCGATTAGGTTCATGCGTAAATGTGTTCTTAAAATAACACGAACCAAAATAAGATTTACTCAAACAAATTTTGACGCACACTTCCGGTACATAATTTAATCGTAAAACGTTCATTTTATGTTCGTGACTTCCTTTTCCAAGCATTCATCTTACATGAACAGTCGACATTGAGTTCACTTCACGACCTTAGCATTTATCGTTAAACATAGGCAATACTGGGCTTATTCACTAAAACAGGTGAAAGCTATTTATAGACTGAAAATCCTGCACGCCCTCTCTATGGTTTGTTTCATTAATGGTGCCCAGCATCGAGGGGGGAATATTTGAAAAGGTCACCCCATTCTCCTCAGCACTGGACGATGGCTGAGGGCGGACGGTGTGGACTTACGAGGCTTGACGACTGAACAGACGGACTGGCCCTCTAAATGAACAAACAGGCAAGCTATTGTGGCTAAACTTTATTGGGCGTGGTGAGCACAAAAATACTCGCTTTTTGACTTCACACATGCATTCCATTTCACATATGCATCAAACATTTCTGGAAACTGCTGGAAATCACTATCGGAAAGTGTTTTAAGTACTGTCATAACATTCCTTGAATTCTTGAATAAAATATTTGGGAACATTAAAAATCACATGGTCAAATTACGCAAGCAGGAGTGCAACAAATATTCCAACACAGGATCATAATATATTCAATTTGCAAAAAATCTCTTTAGAAAAAAAATATGTGCTCTAAAATGCTTTATTATTATTCAAAATTCATAGACTAAGAAGTAACTGAGTAAGATCTGAGGTTTTCTAGGAGTTAAATCCGAAGATGCCTGTATATCTGGGTTGTAGCGCCGTGTAGTCTGGTAGAAGTTTACCAAAGCCCTGATGATGGAGGCAGCAAGGACATCTGAAACGTTGGTATCTTAAGAAGTAACTGGTCTAGATTTTATGGATTTATTCTTCTCCTATGAAACCTATCAGCTCCAGCCATATTGACAATATCTGTAGTGATCGTTTCTCGTAGGCGTGCTTAAGTTTTTGGGATTTGTGGATTTAGGTGGGTTGGGTAAAAGCTGGACTTTGTCCTCAGTAAAGGTAATGAATTTATGTTTTAATATGGGTTATACTTAGGGAGATGCTCGGCTGATAAGTATGTACACGAGGACTTTATTCACTAATTTTACGAGTCGTACGTGATCAGGCTTCGAAGGCGGACTTAGGATGTTGGTCCCTTCCTCCAAAATGTATGCTGTACGTCGTCACAACCCCAAGACATTGAGTTAAATGAACACTGAGCAATTCCTAAAATTTCTATAAAGTAGGACAAACTTAAAATCGTGAAGTTTTTGGGTGATACATGGGTGTTTATTTTTAATCTAATGACACTCGTCGTCACAATTATATTAAGTAAATGGCAGTAATATATGGATAATATTGTTGTCAATAATTTCCTTCTTTTATAAGAATCATATTATGTCAATTGACTTCTGATTTTCTGACAAAACACTAGTAATTTACTCCAACGACCTCTATAATATAGTTACAAATTGTATTTTTTAATCACGAAAGAATTTCGCTTGCAAAATCCAAAATTTCAATCACAACTGAAGCGAAAAGTAACTTGTACCCGTTTCATCTTCCAAATAAATTGCGTCCTGCACAAATAAGGGTTGCGGACCACACTGTGAAAACCTCACCGCGCATAAATTCTCTAGTAATAAGTACGTTATTCAATGATAGCATACAATCACGTTAACATGTGACAGACTGTATATAAACTCACCAGTGCTGCCATCTGGTGCAGGAAGTGCTTGGTGACGGTTATGACAGGAACAATAAACAGCCAGAGAGTGGCCTGCAAACAGAGTAGCACATGACGAACATTAGAACCCCCGAATGATGGATGGATCCTTTAATTATTACAGACAACAAACAATACAGCAGTAAGATTACAACGCGTGTCTACTAACAAGCGCGAATTCCAGACTTGTTTAAATAAATGTCATGTGAAGTGTATAATATCGTATGTGCCAGTTTTTCATTCGAACGTCACATTTTTAGTAACTGTATAAACTTATTTATTTAGTGTTCTGTCTGACGACAGGTCCATATGAACAGGATCCTTCCATTCTTTTCTCGGACTGGGACCTGTTCATATACGTTCTTGGCAGATGATCCAGAAGTGGTTTGCCATTGCCTTCTTCTGTGTGTGAATGGAGTAATTGTTGGGATGCCACGGAGGAAAACTCCGTGTTGCCTAGACCACGGCCTTGCCCAACACAAGTTATAAATTCGGGCACCGCCGGGAATCGAACCCGAGACCCCAATATTACAAGGCCAGCGTTCTCGTCGAAGATATGCGAGAGTTCATCCCCTGAGTTCAAAATGAACACTACCACAGTCATTTTACAGACTATTACACAATACTTAACAAAATGTGGTGTAATTCTCACATCAAAAAATCCTCATTTCTGTCTCCTTCAGAATTCTGCAGTATATTACAAATTACAATTTCTGGTAACTATAAGGTTCTAACGCCTTGTGACAGTGATTTAGTACAGTCATGGGCAAACATCAAGTAGCCTTATGATGTATCTATTTTTCTCAACATGACCGCGAGCTATAATATTAAGTATGAACAGTGGAAACAAATGAAGTCCTAAATCGATATCTTACTGAAATTATAATTCAGTAAACAAATGATGATAATATTAATTCAGAAATATCTGCTGCACTATTTACCTTAGGGGCAAGGTTTGTCTCAGGTACATAGAAATAAATACCCTGTAAAATAGTGAATAAATAAAAAAATAATAATATTTTTAGGCAATGCCGTAAAATGGAATATGTTGCAACCCTTAAGTTTTCAACAGGCGAAGTCCGGTCTGGAAATTATTGACATGACTGTACAGTTGATAAACCAACTATAATTTTCATCTTTTCATCGTTAAATTCAGCTCGTTCAAGTTAGGCTGTCAAAAGCCACCAGAAATGCAAGACCAGTGATGATAAAATAATTGGTGCATTTTCCTTGAAACATTCCACCCCCAGTTTAAACTTTTCTCTTCTTAGATGACTAAATTTCTAAGGAAGATTTTAAACAACAGAAAGTACGCGAAGAATGTGAGAGTGAAGCACTTTCATCATTGGCTCCTTTCATCACAACACTCGTTGAACAAAATACCCTACAGAAATCGACCACCACTCGTTACGAGGGAATATATAAATAAATACTGTGGTAGAGCAGCCCCAATGGCACACTTTGGGCATTAAATGTGTAAACAACGCTTACTTTTAACATTTACAACCTCCTGTCTCCTTGTTCTTGCGCCATGTAATCTGGCAGAAGTTTCCCGACGTTTCAGAGGTCAGGGCGATGATACTGATTCATGGCCCTGACGTTGGAGTCAAGCTACAAGGCCCAACAACCCAGAAGACAGCGATCTCAAATCCTACTTCGTATCGTCTTCCACGTCTCACATACAGTCGAGGACAGGCAAACAGAAATTTCCCAAAAAATTTCGTAAGTACAGATTGTCCCAAAAAATATGTATAGACACAAGATTAAGGTATTACGTGTATATATATATTTTGGGGACATCTGTATTTTCACACATTCTATATTTCTAAGAGTTCTGTGGCAAAAGCAGCACCGTATGACTTTCTGTGATCTTCCGTAACTAGAATCAAATATGGACACCTTACAAAATCCATGTGCGTACGAATATTGATCTGTCAATGTTAAATATAAAGTATACTGAGAATTTACATAACAAATACAACTATAAATTAAATAATGTGTTTGAAAACATGTAAAAACTTAATGCGGGCCGGGGGGGGGGGGGGGGGAAAAGCCAGGTTTAGTATTATCATGGATACGTTTTCGTGGAACACTGCCAACTTCCCCTACAATGTATGCATTCACGCACGCATTTAAATGACGAGTCAGGACGGTTAAATCAAGTCCGTTCCGTGTTGTAGCGGTAGTGGTCAGACTGGAATAAGTTCACTTTTCTTGATGTGTCCCCTTAAGTAACTCATGTCCCGATTAGAGCTCCCTCAGAATTATTTCAGATCACACACTTAATGCTACGTTTCTTTGTCCCATTATTTTGCCTGGTTGTTATAAAATGAGATTGTCAGTCAAAGACAAATGTTGCTAAATAACTAGCACACGGATGTAAGGTTATTTATTTATTTATTTATTTAGTGTTCTGTCTGACGACAGGTCCATATGAACAGGATCCTTCCATCCTTTTCTCGGACTGGGACCTGTTCATATACGTTCTTGGCAGATGATCCAGAAGTGGTTTGCCATTGCCTTCTTCTGTGTGTGAATGGAGTAATTGTTGGGATGCAACGGAGGAAAACTCCGTGTTGCCTAAACCACGGCCTTGCCCAACACAAGTTAAAAATTCGGGCCCCGCCGGATATAAAGCCGTGGCCGATTCTTTCGGTGGACATCAATATCCAGTGACGTCACATTTTATTATTTTTTTTATTTAGTGTTCTGTCTGACGACAGGTCCATATGAACAGGATCCTTCCATCCTTTTCTCGGACTGGGACCTGTTCATATACGTTCTTGGCAGATGATCCAGAAGTGGTTTGCCATTGCCTTCTTCTGTGTGTGAATAGAGTAATTGTTGGGATGCCCCGGAGGAAAACTCCGTGTTGCCTAGACCACGGCCTTGTCCAACACAAGTTATAAATTCCGGCACCGTCAGGAATCGCACCCGAGACCCCAGGATTACAAGGCCAGCGTTCTAACAGCTAGACCACCGTGGCGGTATGTAAGGTTACTGAGTACGAACTCAGAGATGAAATTCTAAAAATACAACCTCTTCTTTTTCGGAGAGAGAGCGAGAGAGAATAACGATGCAAGAAAATGCGAACTTCGCAGTTTCCTTTAATTATTTTGTTGCTTGTTAAGAGATGCATCTCTGACTAATGACAAAGTTTTATGAGAATTTCAGAATGGAGAATCTTTATTAGTATATACGAGTTGAAAGTCAGTGAATGTTAAAACGTTTCATTATAACATCCCGTGTGTTTTAACCGTTCTCCTATAAAAGAGGTTTATGAAAGAACCCACCGACGTGGAAACATTCGACCGCCCCTCTCTATAACCGATAGAAAATTATCATTTCGTGCGTAAATAATTTACCATCCAACCTCCCTCCATCATTTTCCTGTGTTGGAGACAGAGGGCTCTCTGTAACCTAGGCGACAACTTCAATTATTCTTAACATCAAAAAATGAAGCAAATTGACACTCAGGAAAGTATCTCTATGGCAATAAAACTGTGCCCCTGTACCCACAGACATCTTCGTTTGTTCGTCCTACTGCCTCGAAGCGAAAGAATGAAATTTCACATTTAATATTGTAACAACAGGCTTTACTATGCACGTGTGTCGAGTTCCTCCACAAATGAACTTTGTACATCCCCACGACTGAGTAAAATCCAGAGAAATGTTTAAGCTCACTACCAAGTATTCTAAATAAATGATATGTTCATCCTTCAAAGCTTAAGCTTATATAAACATTATTAAAAAATTCATGTCCCACAGCAAACAACACAAAACAAATGCTTATTACAAAGATAAATTGGTCAATGCTGTTTGAGGAAATATTCACTGTTCATTATGAAAGCTACTATAAAGTTACCAAACAAGAATGACGGGAAAATCTAAAGCAGAACTTAAAGTCGTTTTTATTGAGAAGTGTAACAAAGAATCGTATAAAAATTTAAATCATTGCCTATCTTTGCTTAATTATGAAAGATGCGAAGAGTTAATGTGACGTAAACATGTTTTACCGCCACGGTTTTCTAGCGGTTAGAACGCTGGCCTTGTAATCCTGGGGTCTCGGGTTCGATTCCCGGCGGTGCCCGAATTTATAACTTGTGTTGGGCAAGGCCGTGGTCTAGGCAACACGGAGTTTTCCTCCGGGGGCTTCCCCGGTTTCTCCGTGGCATCCCAACAATTACTCCATTCACACACAGAAGAAGGCAACGGCAAACCACTTC